CCCTGGCTCTGATCCGTGCCTGGTTCCTGACCCTTGACTTGGCACCTGACCTGGCGGGCGACCTGGCCCTCGACCTGATCCTCGATCTGGCCCTCCTGACCTGTGGCCTCAGGGCCTTGGCCTTGCTCCTCCAGGCTTCCCGGGCCTTCTCGGCCGCCTTGCGCCGGGAGCGGTGCAGGTGTGGTCTGGAGGACCGCGGCAGGTTCCCCCTGGAAGAGCGGCCGTCCAAGGCCAGCCGGGACCGCCCCGCCTTTCTCCTCGACTTCGGAAGCTTCCACACCCTGAAGCAGCCGGCCGCGTGGCTGCCGCTCACTCGCAGGAGCGTGGCCTGGGTCTCGGACCCGCCCGGGCCTCCCACGGGGCTGCCGATCTTCCTGCGCACCTCGTAGCCGGCGCTGCCCAGCGCCTTCTTGAGAGCCGCCAGGGTCGGCCTGCCGGGCGCAGTGATGGCCCCGAGCAGCACCTGCGACACCCTGAGCACCGACTGCCGGCGCCGCCTCGAGGCCGTCCGCGGCATCTTGTCCGCCGGCTGCTTGACCGGAACCTCAGTGCCGTCGGATTCACTTGTCCGGTTGGGCCGCCTCCGCCATGGCCCCGCTTCGCCGGCCGCGAGGTCACGGGCTTTGAGCCGGCCTTCTGACCTGCGGCCGGAGCTGCCCGGGTCACGTCACAAAGCGGGGCAGGGCCGGGTCTTCCTACCCCAGTCGGAGGACCCACACATCTCACCCACGTGCAACCTTTTGACTTTTCCTAACCAAGCGGGGCACCACCTAGGCCTACCCCAGTCTGGGTGTGTAGGGGCTGTGTAGCCCTTACAGCCATCTTTGTTCCGGGCTCCTACTCGCTGAGCCTGATTACACTTTCCAAAGCCCATTGTTTTTTCCCTGGCCCTGCAGGCCATCTACCCAGGTCAGAACGAGAGGTCGTAGTTAGATGCCTGTAGTCAGGCCTTCTGCTCAGGTCAAGATGCCTGCAGTCATGGCTCCTGACTGCACAGAGGTTGAGTGGGCAGTTCAGGGGCCTCCTTCAGCCACACTGAGCAATCCAGGTTTCAAATCTGAGAACACCAGTGTTGAAATCATTCTTTGAGAGCATCTGCTTCTCCTCCCTGATTGCCCTGTCCCTCTCTCT